GTGACGTGAGTAGCAGGAATGGAGAGTCTCATTCTGGCTGGATATACCTAACACATCTCAATCTGATGACAGAATTAAAATTCATTTCCAGGAATCCCATGAACCATAAATGAAGTCAAACAAGCTGGGTTTGCACCACATGCTCAGTCCTTAAAAAGCAACCCTGTTAATATTTTGGAAGTTGTGTGCACACATTTCTGATGTCTGTAGCTGACTAGGACATGTAGGCTGTGTGTAGGCACTTTCTGTAGACCTGAAGTTTTAGAGACCCTTGGAGTAGATATTTCTGAGTTTGAGGGAGCAGTGGGTCTTTCAAGTTGTACTTACTGCTTGTGTTTCATCCCGTCTTTAGGAAAGCAACTTGCTTTAGTCAAGACCAACTCAGCTGTGAGGACTTGTGGTTTTGACTTTGGAGGGAATATCATCATGTTTTCCACAGATAAGCAAATGGGCTACCAATGTTTTGTGAGCTTCTTCGACCTTCGAGACTCCAGCCAGCTTGGTGAGACCTTCAGGTGTAGTTAGAATCAAGGTTGGGTGGGAAAATTGTCCTTCCTCAAAGTTGGTGTTAAAGAACCTTTTTTTTCCTTTTATCTTCAGAGGACAATGAACCTTACATGAAGATCCCCTGCAGCGAGTCCAAAATTACTAGTGCGGTTTGGGGTCCCCTTGGAGAATTCATCATTGTTGGGCATGAGAATGGGGAGTTGAACCAGTTCAGCGCAAAGGTTGGTATGGATTCATGAGAGGTATTTGTGTCCCATCAAGAAGGTAACCTAACATCAAATACAAAAAAGTGGATCACCACAGTCAACCTACCCCAAAGTCTGGAAGGGCGGATGCATTTTTAAAAACTTCTGAAGTATCAACAGGGTCATAACCAAAAGACTCTTTGTGGGATACCATTCCAGAAGGCAGCCACCACGACAGAGAAAACATGCTCTTTGGGTCGCAATAGATTCATCAAGGGGACCTAAGCCCACCAATTCTATCCGATCTGGAGAGGCGGAAACCATAGCAGATAGGTAGCCTCTTGCTCTGGGCCATAAAAGGTATTAGAGGCAATGACCCTTTAAATCTGTCGATGAGATTTATTGGTCACCAGTGCAACAGGTGCAGTCACATAGACAAAAGATAGATTTAGAGCACGGGTGTAAAACTTGTGGTGTCACGTTGCCATCCCATGACATTTTGCAACTTTTTTCCTATTCACGGAGCTGGGGTGGGGGTGGCTGGCTTGTGACGCATCCAGCCCATGGGCTGCCAGTTTGACACTCCTGATTTAGATTTTAACTACTGGAATACACCAGGCCTTCTCTGACCTGGAATAGGTCAATAGTTGCCATGCGGACCATGATCTCCTGAACTATCACTAGGCAGCAAATTGAAGTTCCCAAGAGTAAAAGTCTTGGGGGGTCTCTGCTCATGAATTTCAGCAGATCAGGAAGGGATGTTGCTAAGTAGTAGGGAGGGGAGTACACCAACAACTAACTCATCTATTCTCTAAAGCCCAATATTAACCAGAGCATTGATCTACAGATGAGAGCCTTGCAGAGCCCTTACGGATTAATGGTAACATAGTCATCTTATTTCCCACTCCTAAACCCTTGACTGATGAGGCCAGCCAACTTGAAATCAAAGGGGGATATAATTCGGAAAGGAGACCCTTGGGCCTTCTATCTTGTTTAAACAAGCTTTGTGGGTAAAGGACATTGTCAAGTTCAAACATGTCTTTGATATTATTTTGATAAGATTGCCTGTGAAGAATTCAAAAGAAGTTGAATGTCATTAAATTATTGGGTGTCATTTGCAGCTGCTGGTTTTCTCCATTTCTCTGTAGTTTCTGCCTTCTACCTTCAGGGCTACAGTTGGGAACACCCAAATGGCTCCTGGAGAATAGTAGCTAAAAGTAAACATTTGTCCAGAATGGTATAGGGTGTCATGCTTGAGGAAGGGGTTCGACTAGAACAGAGATGGCGAACCTTTTCGGCACCAAGTGCCCAAAATCGAATGTGTGCACGCCTGCACCAGAAACCCGAAGACCAGGTGGCTGGTGCACACTCATGAAGACCAGATGTCCAAAAGAGCAGCTGGCAACAGCGTGCATGCCCACAGAAGGGGGTCTGCGTGCCACCTCTGGTACATGTGCCATAGGTTTGCCATCACAGGACTAGAAGATCTCCAAGGTCCCTTACAACTATGTTATTTTATTAAGTGTAACTCAATTTGCCTTTTGTTGCTTAAGCAAGATGGCAATTTCTCAGCTGAGGCATCTGTATTCTTTAAAAGAGGATGATAATCCTGCCATTATTATTTTTTTGTCTGGATATCTTAGATGATATTTATCCAGAGTGATTCAAGGACTGAACCAAGAATTCTCAATGGACACCTTGCTTTATTATTGCCCTGCTTAATTTAGCATCAAGGTGGTGATTTCATGTGACCTCAAACCATCCCTTTTGGTGATCCTTGCTAACTGATAGTTATAAGGACTGAAATAATATAATCTACCATTTATTGATTATATGTAACATTATGATTGTATCATTCATATATTCATATATATTTTAGATCCCACCTTTATTTTTGTAAATAACTCAAGGTGGCGAACGTTTCTAATACTCCTTCCTCCTATTTTTCCCACAACAACCACCTTGTGAAATGGTTGTGCTGAGAGAGTGTGACTGGCTCAAAGTTACCCAGCCAGGTTTCATGGCTAAGGTGGAACTAGAACTCACAATCTAGCCTGCTTTCTAGCCTGCTGCTTTAACAACTAGGCCAAGCAAGGTTAGAGTAAAGTAGCAATGTCTTTCCTTTCTTCTCTTCTAGTCAGGAGAAGTCCTCATGAATGTCAAAGAACATACAAAGCAGATCAATGACATCCAGACTTCCAGAGATATGACAATGTTTGTCACTGCCTCCAAAGATAACACTGCCAAGGTGAGTCTTTGTTGTTGCTGCTGCTTGCTGCAAAAGGTGGTGTCCTATGATTGACCTGCATTTTTCAATTCACCCCAGGAAGAGAGGTTGCTTAGACAAGCTAGCTCTTCCTATTACTTTTGCCAAAGTTTTGAGATAATAAAAGTTTTGCTCTAACTTCAGTCAGATCATTATTACCCTCTGGTGGTAATTTTCATTAATATTTAACCTTCCTTTGCTGATGCCTAAACTGAGCAACTCTGGAGGTGGAAAGGAAAATAGAGGTGGCAGAGACATAAAATCTGCCCCCCAGAACTCCCCTTTTCATGACTCGAATTTCAGAGGAGTTGTTAGGGCTCGTAAGGATGGGCCTCTTGGCTGGAGACAATTTATTAATAAAGTGCTCTAAAACATTCATTGCCATACTGGCATTTTCTTTGATGTTTTTACTTTTTGGCATCTTTCCTACAAACCGTAAATATAAGCATCGACACACAAATTAGTAGCCACAGGAAGTTTTTTCAACTTTCACCGGAACTCAGGAAGAGTTGGGTTTTTTGTTTCTGTTTTTGATTTCCCGGGCTTATTCTGGTTGCCCTGTTCAGCTTCCAAGCAGTGTTTTGTTGGGACAACTGTTGTTCACAGGATTGGGAAGGGGCTGTGCTCTGCTGCGTGGCACTGATGGTGTAATTGGCATTTTCAGTTGATACTGGGGAAATTTAGTGCCTCCTTCAAAAGTCCTGATAGACCTATTTCTCTTGCAGCTCTTTGATTCCACAAATCTTGACCACCTAAAGACATTCCGAACAGAACGGCCGGTGAACTCTGCAGCGCTTTCTCCCATCTTTGATCATGTATGTTGGTGGGCAACGTGTTGGGTTTTGCCCCCTTATATTTCCTTTTGTCAGATCTCCTTAGAGTGAGATTTGTATGGCTGTTGTGTGGTTTGTATGCGTCCTTCACAAAGGTAAGTTTGTCTGTGAGATAGAAGTGTCTGGGTGTTTTGGATGCTTTGCTTCTTGGCAGCTTCTGTGCTCTGATTGCTGTACAGGAAACGGGAAAGGATAGAGAGATCAAATGACTGTACTCTGCAAATGAGCAAAGTTTTCTTAGTAGGAAGCAACCAAATTTTAAGCCATGGCATTAAGCAGATCATTGGCATATCCTCTCCTAATGAAAGGAATATGAACTGGATCTCGTCCTTTTATTTTTCTTCTGGCAGGTGGTGTTAGGCGGTGGACAGGAAGCCATGGATGTGACAACCACCTCCACCAGAATTGGAAAGTTTGAGGCCAGGTGAGTTTGTTTTCTCTTCTGGTCATGAGGGATGTGGCATCGATTCACTCTCCTCTACTGCGTTCCCATGAAACCCAACTCTGCTTTCAAAAGATGTAAGGCGTCACCTCGCAAGCAAGTTACACTGAAGAGCTGCCTAACGTCCTTTTCTAATGGTGTCTATCTCTTTGTATCTTATTTATGGTTCTAGATATTTCCATTTGGGCGTTGAGGAAGAGTTTGGAAGAGTCAAAGGCCATTTTGGGCCAATTAATAGCGTTGCTTTCCACCCTGATGGGAAGAGGTAAGAGTCATCAGTACTTCTGGCTCTTTAGTTTCACAAGACTTGGACCAAGCGCCCCAGGAATTTCACTCCCTTTTTTCTGCTTCCAGTTACAGCAGTGGCGGGGAGGATGGCTACGTCCGCATCCATTACTTTGACCCCCAATACTTTGAATTTGAGTTTGAAGTTTGATCTGGCTGCTTCCTTCTCCTCTGATGCCTCTCCGGTCTTTGCGGTTCCAGCAGGATGGAAATCTTGCTTATCCTAAGCGATGCTTAAGGGCAAGAATCAAACCGAAGCGGAGAATGACCTGCTACAGGTTCTCTGTGGGAGAGAATCTCTCTACTTCTACCCTGTTGGAACAGCTGCAGTTGCCCTATTTATAATGTGAGACAGGGATAATAAATTCTTCCTTTGCAAACATGAAAATAAATATGTATGAATGTGTTAGCTAAGAACAAGCAGATTACTACTTTTTTAATACTGTTTCCATCATGTGTATGATTTGTTGGCTTCAGAATTCATTGTTATCATTAGGGGTTTCCATATTGATGGTTTTGCTAAGTAAAGCCCAAGTTAAACATATTCCAGGTTTACAGTGATTTGAAATTATTGGATCAGTTTATTGGGTTAGAGGAGCATCTTTCAACCTTGGCAACTTTAGGTAGGGTAGACTTCAACTTGCAGAATTCCCCATCCAGCACAGGTGAAGCTTGACTAATATTAACATTTAAAAAACTTAGCCATGTCAGCTTTATTGTTCAAATACAGCTATTGGCTCCAAGTTGGGGGGGGGGGTGCTACGTATGAGCATCCAGATGGCTTTCTCGTTACCCAAAAGATTATATCTTCCATTTCCTAGATCTAAAATGTTTTTTTAAAGAGCTGTATTTTATTTGTAACAGTTTTAAAAATAGACTTGGAAAATAGATCTACATATTCACAGTGCCACAGATAAAAGTGTTTGCTCTCCTTGGAGGCTCTGTGTCAGCAACTCTCCCTCTGTTTTCAGCTTTCCTCTTTTGGGGTGACCAGCCAATTCTTTGATTACTTCATCTAAAAAGGGGATGATGCAGTGTACTTTCATGTTGCTCTGTGCAATTGTGAGTAGGTTTGGCTGTTTGTTGTTATTTGCCGAATTTCTGTCCATGCTTCATCAAGATGTTCTGATGAACGGACCCAACGGAGAAATAAACCTACAGGGAGAATAATGGCCAGTTATCCATCTGTTTCACAAGGACAGACAGTCACCTTTTATATCTTTACAGCAATTCTTTATAAAGAACATCAGCAGTAGACTCACTTAGCTTCCAGCTGCATCTGGGGGAGACAGCCAAATCTTTCATAATTGCCCCAGAAGAACTGGGACTGCTAACGGCACTGCCTAATTTTACATTTAAGGTCCTATCCTTCAAATCTGCAGGTTTACAAATATATTTAGCAGACGTTTGAAATTCTCACTCTGAAATCTGGATAGGAAGAGCTTTAAAGAGGAGTCTTCTGAAGACCCTGGATTCGGGAAAAAATGTTAGATGTGTTTCTTACATGTAAACTTGTATATCTCTTAAAAGCACGTAAAGGAAATGAGCAAGCAGCAAAGTGGATAGGTGGGTGAGGTTTTAGTTTCTACCCATCAGATGTGATTTGGAAATTTGATGATGTTCAGACAGCTGAAGTTCTTGAAACTATTAAGGTTTTAGTAAGGTTGCTTCCGTATTACAGATAGTCCTTGACTTATATCCATTCATTTAGAGACATTTGAAGTTAATGATGGTGCTGAAAAAAATATGTCAATTTTTTGCACTTATGGATATTGTGACCCTTCAACCACATGATCACAGTTTGGTTTTGTATCCCTGCAGTTGCATAATCGTAATTTGGGTGCTTGGCAACCGGCATCTATTACGACAGGTGCAGAATCCAGGGGGAGGGGGTTGCATAATCGCCATCTGTGACATTCCCAGTCAACTTCTGACAAGCAAATTAATGGGGAAACAACAGGAAAGGTCACAAGTTGTCTTGCATAATAACACATTTTTGTCCCTTTTTGGTCATAAGGCAAGGACTCTACAAAATTCTGCAAGGCATATGTTCAGACATCTTCCAGCCCTCCCAATTGCCTGCTATATCTTCAAAATCTCTGGAATTATTGCATCAACCTGAGCAAACTTGATGAAGATGCTTATAAAAGTAAGGCTTATTTTCTTGTTGGTGTGAGATGTTTCCCTGCTTATCCAAGCAGCCTCTTCAGCCTGAACAAGTTGCTTAGGGGAATCTGAACAGGCAGAGAGCTATTGGAATGTACCAATTCTTTCCGCACCAATCTCAGGTTTTCTCCTCAAACTGGAATAGCAATAGTACTGTCAGATCCGTGAATCTGCCTTCTTCAGGGGAAGAGGGGGGCCCTATACTTCCTTTAGACTTAACTATCTTTCTTCCCTGTATATCCTGTACCATGTAATTAATTGCTTTATAACTTCTAGCCTGGTGCCTAGAGGCCTGGCATTTTCTCATCTTTCAGGGAATGTGAGGAGGGAGGGCCATGTAAACTGCATCGCTCAGGAAACGACCCTCACTTTCCTAGAGCATCTGTTACAAAAACATCTTCACACCTATGGATTGGACTGTTGGGCAGGGACTCTAATTTCCTTTAGTCCTGTTGTATTGCATTAAGGACCCCAGATCCTACTTTCCCTTCGCCCAGTTATCCACTTTCAATAAAAGGTTCCTTTTGAAATGTTAAGTTTCAAGAATCTTTACTTCCTTGATTAAGGCGGGGAGGCCTTACAAGTACTTAGACTTATACGCCGCTTCACAGTGCTTTACAGCCCTCTCTAAGTTTAGAGAGTCAGTCTCTTGCCCCCAACAACCTGGCTCCTCATTTTACCGACCTCAGAAGGATGGAAGACTGAGTCAATTTTGAGCCTGGTGAGATTCGAACTGCCAAATTGCAGGCAGCCAGCAGTGTCTCAAACCAAAAAAAAAAAAAGTCCAGTTGCCATGACTCAACTCAACAACTTTTCCTGGATGACTGAAAGGCTTCATCAACATAGCACACTTTGGGAAAGAAACTTCTGAGGTTAGTGCGGGAGGAGTTGCCAATGACTCTCTGTAACCAACTTGCTCTGACTGAGGAAGCTGCTTGGATGAGCAGGAAAATGTCTCAACCCAACAAGAAAACAACTTCAGTTGCCATAACTCAACTTCTGGACTCAGCAAACCATCTTGCCAATGTTGGCCTATGAAACTGAAATCTAGAAGGCTTAATTTCATCCAAATTACAATGTCTCTCGCATGTGAGTGCTTTATTCCAAAGCTTTGGAGTTCTGGACAATGTGAGTTTGTACTTTATATGGTAAAAACAGGGGTCCCCAAACTTGGCAACTTTAAGACTGGTGGACTTCAATTCCCAGAATTCTGCCAGCTATGCCAAGTTGGAAGACCTCTGGGTAAAAGGAATAGTGGGTAGACCCCCTACCTTTCCAGAGCATCAAGCTCTGTGGCTCAACGGAGGGCCAGATGACCAGGGGGTTATACATGTAAAGGGGGTTCAGGTACTTCTCCCCATGGTTTATCCAGGGCCAGAGGCAATGAGTCTTCTCCCTCATTTCACACAACCTCCTGCAAGGAAGCCAAGAGCATTTTAGTCCCTCATTGGGTAGACCTGGAGCACCGGTTCTCAGTCTGGGCCACTTGGAGATGTTGCACTTCATTTCCCAGAGGTCCCCAGCCATCTTCCCAATCACCACATCCAACCAGAAGCCCACCATGTTAGGGAAGGAATACAACATTAATCTGATACAGGGGGACACATGCTCCACTAAAATTACAATTGGATATCGAGGGAAGACTTGAGAGAAACAAATGCAATCTAACAATTAGTTGCTTTCTTGTAGCTTTGAGGTGTCCTTCCTTTTTTTATGGGCCACAATTTGAATCAAATGGGATTGTTAGAGATGCAAAAGCATGAAAGAACTATACTGTAGGTCCATGATGGCGCATGGAGCCATATTTGCTGGTACGCCTGCTGTCAGTTCCGGCACACATGCATGGTCTGGCTAGCTAATTTTCAACCTTCCGTAGGGCTGGGGGAGGCCATTTCCGCCCTCCCCAGGCTTCAGAAAAGCCTCTGGAGCCTGGAGAGGGCGAAAAATGGGCCAATTGGAAGTTTGGGAACGATTCAGCTTCCGGGGGGGTAGGGAGACTGTTTTTGCCCTCCCCAGGCTTCAGGAAAGCCACTGGAGCCTGGGGAAGGATGGTGTGCGCATGCGCAAGGGGGTTGTGCGTGCAGATGCAGGTGGGCGGGGAAGATTGAATTGGTGTGGGCATGCATGCCTGCACAATAGCATGCACACACACAATTTTGGCATGCCATAAGAAAAAGGTTTGCCATCACTCAAAAAGTGTTAGAACCAGCCCCCACACTTTTATGGCTATTGCTTCATCCCCACAGTCATGTGATCAAAATTGGAGCACTTTGCAACTGGCATGTATTTATGATGCTTGCAGTTTCCTGGAGATTATGTGATTGTCATATGTGACCTTCCCAACTGCTTTTGACAAGCAAAATCAATGGGGAAGCCAGATTTGCTCAGCAATCACATGATTCACTTAGTAACTCTAGTGTTTCTCTTAACAATTGTGGCGGAAAAGGTTATAAAATCAGGTGTGACTCACTTCACCATCACCTTGCTCAGCCACAGAAATTCTGGTTCCAGTTTTCGTCACAGCTTGACTGCCTGCACTTTTCCCCTCCGTAGCCATAGTTGACTCGGATCAATGAACCAGAATTAGACTTACTGCTTTTATAAATAGGGCTCCAAGGTACAAGGAAAACTGGCCAAACTGGATTTGTTTTTATTTAATGATCTCTTGAACTGGAGCAACAAGCAAGGAACTTTGGTAGGGATGTCCGCAAGGTCTGGTGGAAAAAGTCAATATGATGGCCATAAAGGTATGATTGAAGCTCTAACTGTAGTACCAGAGGTGGCATTCAGCAGATTCTGACAAGTTCTGGAGAATCAGTAGCAGAAATTTTGAGTAGTTCAGAGAACCAGTAAATACTGCCTCTGACTGGCCCCACCCCCATCTATTCTCTGCCTCCCAAGCCTCAGCTGATCGGGAGGATTTCGGAGTATTCCCCTATGACACCCACCAAGCCACACCACGCCTACCACACCATGCCCACAGAACTGGTAGTAAACATTTTTGAATCCCACCATTGTGCAGTATCTGTACGATGTACACAAATATGTGAGTTTTGATCCCACTGCTGTGACTACCATCTTGACCACACTGCAGGCTCCTCTGAACCCCGGTTCTGTGCCTCCCCCCAAGTGTTTTATCATGGTTGGTTTAGCCATTTTTGTGGGAGAAGCAACGAGAACAACCAGCCAAGAGACTCTGAAATCTTGGTCCCCTTCCCTGCAAAAATGGCTGCTGTGACTTTTCCTTCTATGTGAAACCATTCCACTTTCCTAGATTGATTTTTCTCCTGGAGAACATCAGGTCCTAATGTTCAAATCCTGTGCATCTCAATTCATAAAAGTAAAAGGAGAGTTCTACCAGTGGGAGGATGCTTAGGGCATCTTTGGTGGCTCAGATTTCTTCACCTGAGATATTTGAAGTGGCCAAATTAAGTGCAAGGCCATCCCTCCATGTCTTTCAAGGCCTGTTGACAAAGAATTCTCAGCCCTCGTCAGGAAGATTTGAACCATCTTACTTGGCATCCTGCTCTCCCAAGCTGGCACCCTCAACCCTGCCTGCCCCTCCTGGGTCTGCTGCTGCTTTACCTTTCTTTCTCATTGTTGCCCAAGAACGTGCCACAGGGTGAGGCATAGCAATGCTCAAAGAGTGCCAGCAGGAGATGCTCATTGAATGCCAGTGAGAAGGGGAACTGGCGCCCCAGTTGCCAGATGCAATCAAGGAAAAGGAGAAACGTGGGCGCCTCCTGCTTGAGCCGGGCGTGCGCATAGGCGGAGTGGGCGCAGCGGAGCTGGAAGGGATGCCCGGCCTGGAAAAGCAAAAAAAGGTTGGCATCTAGAAGCAGAAAAGGGCCTTCCTGCTTCTTCCAGTAAAATCCAGGAAGTGGGCAGGGCTGGAGACAATCTTTCAACAAGAATCAAAACTCAATGAAGTCAATCAAAGAAACCCGTAAATATCAGCAAGAATTAAACTGTTCCTCCTTATGATCAAAGGTCCGTCTGTGTCACACAAGAGCCGGCTAGCGTGTTTTTCTGTGTAAGATGAGAGGGGCAGCCTGAGATCCTGCAAATGTTTCTAAAGTACAATTCCCAGCAGAGAGTTAAAGGCTTGGAGCAATGGAAGTTGAACTGTGTAGCCCTGTGATGGCGAACCTATGGGACGCCTGCCAGCTGGTCTTCTGGTTTCCGGCACATGTGTGCATGCCTGCCAGCTGGTCTTTGCACGTGCTGAAGTGTCGGAATCCAAAGCCCAGCTGACTGGTGCACATGTGCCTGCTGGACTATGGTCTGAATGTACACACTGGCTAGCTGGTTTTTGCATGTACCGAAGCGCCTCGTCTTCAGGTTTCCACCACTCCAGCATGCACAAATACCAGCTGTGCACTGGCCAGCTGGTCTTCAGGTTATAGCCCTGCAGTGTGCACGCATTCCCACGGCTTCCAGTTTGGGCACTCAGCGCCAAAAAAGTTCGCCATCACTGGTGTAGCCCAGTGGTAGGTTCCGGAATGTGTTGCAACCGGTACAGTTGCAACTGGGCCTGGTGCCCTCCACATGAATGTGTGTGGTGCCCGCATGTGTCTTACCATTCAGCGATGCCTCCACGAGCCTCCATGACACTGCAGCTGCTTGGTGGAGTGTTGCACAGGCGCTGTGCGCGCCGTGCACGTACACATAAGGGTTGAAGAGTTTAAAGACAGGTAAGGAGTTGGGGCAGGAGGGTGGGCCCTCCGGAGCACCATATTGGAATGATATCTGGTGCTCCTGGCAGGCTTTGGTACGCCCGTACTGGGGTGTACCACCTGCAATCCACCACTGGTGTAACCCCATCTGAGGAGCCAGAGGCTCCCTCATTGGCTCTGATGATAATATTCAGTGGCCACACTAAGCCATGGTTAAGAAATTCTTAACTTCCATTTTGTAAGCTGACCCAGAATCAGATGAGTAATGTGTAACATAAATACCCTATGCCTCCACTTAGAAAGAATTACAATCACTTCCAATTTTGAAATTCTGTCTGTATTACTATTAGGAACTGTTGAGTTAAAAAGTACAACATGTACTTTCTTGCTTTCCAGTCATGGCAATTTTTAAGTGTGGACCTCATTTCCCAGAATTCCCCATGTCAATCCCCTTTGAACTGTCTCCTGCTAGTACCTGTATCCATTCCCGCTCCAGCAGTCCTTGGAACCCTGCCAATGTCCGGCAGGATGGATCCAGGATAACTTGGGCAAGAGCTGTCACCAACAAGGTGGCATCCTTCCCTTCGGCTCCATGCACCAGGACACAAGCCTCCTCTCTGGAGCAAGACACAGAGTATCTTGTTACACGACCGTCTCCCTGACATGAGCACATCCCCAAAGGTTGGGGTGCAGAGGGGACTTGCCCAAACAGCTTCTCCTGGGGGCTCCTCTCCAGACACTTTCTGGGGGAAGGACCAGAGGCAATCCTACCTTTCCAGGCACTGGGCTGCCAGGCAGGCAGCATTCAAGGCTTCCTTGACATGGGACAGCCATTTGGAGGCTTCCAGCCTGCTCAGCCAGCGGTCCATGTGGGCAGAAGGGTCATTGCAGGCTTCTACCAGCTTGATGAAGCTTTCCTGGAGGGAGCGACCCCTGAGAGGTGGGGAGGAGGAGAAAGAGAAGGAGAACTGCTTTGGTTAGGAGTCCTGCAGCCAATGGTGAAATTCATTTTTTTAAACTACCGGTTCTGTGTCTACTGTGGCTTGGTGGGTGTGGTGCGACTTGGTGGGCATAGCAGGGGAAGGATACTGCAAAATCCCCATTCCCTCCCCATTCTGGGGCCAGCCGGAGGTGGCATTTGCCGGTTCTCCAAACTAGTCAAAATTTCAACTACCGGTTCTCTAGAACCTGTTGGATTTCACCCCTGCCTGCAGCTCACAATCAGGGGTTTCTCCCATGGACCAGCCTTGTCTGGCTGGAGAAAGTGAGGTATAGGAAAGGCTGGTTTCAACCTTCACATGTGTCCATCTTTCTGATAAGAAAAGCTATTCAGATATAAGCACCCACTGAATGCAAATGCCTACCAACCTCAACTTCAGAAATCACTCTTTCATGCAGGAAGCATAAATTTGACTGAAAGCATATGGTTTTCTATCCCTGTTTTCGATTTCCTTGCAGGATTTCAGATTTTATTTTCAATTGCTGTGCTGAACAAATGTTCCATTAACGTGGGCCATTAGAAAAATTCTAGTGATCAGAGTTAAGGCATAAGGTAAAGGAGGCTGCCAGTACATGAGTGAGTCATTTTCCGCAGGTTCTGATTCCATTATTCTTTTTTATTAAAAAAAAAATAGCACCATTTCTCCAACTGTTTGTTGTTGTTGCTGCTGCTATTTTCTGAAGGACTTGGTGAGGTTGAAAATCCACACGTGAATCTTCTCTGGACTTAAACATTTTATTCTCCCTCTTTCTAACTAAAAGGGGGTGGGGGTGGGGAATCTGTGATGGGAGAGAATTGCAAAAGAAATTACCGGCCAGTGGATCACCTGGAGAAAACATAGGTTGTTCCAAGTATGAGTTAGAGCAAGGTTGTCCAAACTTGGGAACTTTAAGACCTGTGGACTTCTACTCCCAGGATTCCCCAGCTGGGACTTGGTCCACAGATCTTAAAGTTCCCAACAGATTGGACACCCCTGAATTAGAAAATTTTAAGCTCTTTCCAGAGCTTAACTTTAAAAAAAGTATTTGTTTTATGGAATAGTCCTTTCACTCTAAGCCAGGGGTGTCCAAACTTGGGAACTTTAAGACTTGTGGACTTCAACTCCCAGAATTCCCCAGCTGGCTTTCCCCAGCCAGTCGGCTAGGGAATTCTGGGAGTTGAAGTCCACAAGTCTTAAAGTTCCCAAGTTTGGACAGCCCTGGCTTAAGCAATCTGCAAAGAGCAGTGATTGGGAGTTATCAGGCTGGTTTTGAATTTGAATTTTAATGGATTTGTATGCCACCCAATCCCGGAGCTGTTTCTTCCACAGCTTCTCTAACAACGGGGAAGAATCCATAATTAATCAGAGACAGTGCTAACTAATGCCCTCCAGATATGTTGGACTACAATTCTCACTGTTTCTAGAAGTTTTCAGGGCTAATTGAGAAACATTCAGTAATTCTTAGTCAAGATGACAAGAAAGCTAACCACAGCACCAGTCTTTCACAGATCATCCTTGACTTAATTAGGGAAGGAATCGTTTTCAGGCTGGCTCATCCTGCTTAGCATCAGAGGCATGGGTCACACCCATGTCAAGGAATTCTCAGGAGATCTTTTGATAATGGCCAACTTTGTTGACCATTTGTGTTTGTTTTTTTCCAGTTTTGCTTTTTTGTGGTCATGATACACTGAAAGCACAGAAATCTGTTTTAAAGGGGTAAAAGAGGCTTCCGTAATGTTTTCAGAATATTATTTAGATGGGCTTTGTTCCGGGCTTCTGTTTAATATCTTCCCTTCAGGGACACAGCACAAATAGATAGAGGGGCTTACCTCTCTAGAGCTCGGTGCAGCCTCTTCCAGCCGTGGTAGCAGCTTCGGTGCTCCAGGCCGCCCCCCATCACCCGGGCCTGCTTTGCAGTCTGCAGCGACCTGGTGTCCAGGATGAAGCCACGTTCCCCACCCTCCAGGACGGTGGTCAAGAGCAGCTCATCCTCATGGCAGCGTTTCCGGTTGGGCCCCACGAGGGGCTGGCTGCTGCGAAGCATCACCTTTATGAGAAAAGGATGGAGATGGATGGAGGCAGTGATGAAATTCATTTTTTTTACTACCGGTTTTGTGGCCATCGCTTAGTGGACGTGGTGTGGCTTGGTGGGCGTGGCTGGTGGGTGTGGCAGGGGAAGGATATTGCAAAATCCCCATTCCCACCCCACTTCAGAGGGAAGGATACTGCACACTCTCCATTCCCTCTCCAGTCCTGGGGGAAGGATACTGCAAAATCTCCATTCCCACCCCACTCGGGGGCCAACCAGAGGTGGCATTTGCCGATTCTCCAAACTACTCAAAATTTCTGCTACCAGTTCTCCAGAACCTGTCAGAACCTGCTGGATTTCACCCCTGGATGGAGGAGAGTAAAGGGGGGAGAGACTCCTGGGGAGGAGTGCAAATTGATTCATTTGAGGTTCTCCCAATGCACTTTGTGGCCATTGGTCAAGTACACCTCCTTAAGCTTGGTCTTTTTTGAAAAGCTCATCTGAAATGGAATGTATTTTGGGATATGTTTTCCTTAAGAATTTTTGTTTATAAATCTGTTTTGTGCTCAGTTTTTGCAACCCATTTTTTCTATTTTAGAGCATTTCATGCAGCTTTCGGGTTTTTAAAGTGGACTTTTCTTGATGACATATTTTCTAAAATGTCAATATTGATGACCTGTGTTGCAAATAATTCTGCAAATTACAGAATTATTTTGAATAATGGCTATGTTTCTGCATATTGGTTTGAAAAAGTAAAATTCTGAAAGTTTCCCCTTTTGGGGCAAATGAAAAACATTTCTACATTCTTGTTGTGCTCATGAATGACCATGATAAAGTCATTTCTTTCTGAATTCTCAATTCCTAAGCAGCACTTGGTCTGTTTTTGCCTGCTGTCTGCTGGGTGATGCTCACATTCCTTTTGAGGGGGTTAGTGAGGGATCTGGAGGCTACCTTGAACGGTTAATTAGGGATGTCCAGCCTATCAAAGAAAAGGCTTAGGGGTGATATGACAGCAGTCTTCCAGTACTTGAAGAGGAGGGAGGATTGACCTAGTCTCCAAAGCACTAGAGGGAAGGACAAGAAGTAATGGGTGAAAGATCATCAAAGAGAGATCCAACCTAGAACCAAGGAGAAATGTCCTGTCAGTGAGAACTATTAATCACTGGAACAGCTAGCCTGTAGAAGCTGTGGGAGGTTTTGAAGAAGAGACTGGACAGCCATTCGTCTGCAATGGTAAAGAGTCTCCTGCTTGGACTAGAAGACCTCCAAGGTTTCTTGCAACCCTATTATTCTATTTCTATGAAATAATTAGGTACTAATGATGAAGGTGATACAGGCATGTTTAGTGTATCTGTTGGGTGTGCCAAAGCTGCCTGTTTCCCTTCCCAGCATCTCGTGGTACAGATGAGGAAGGTAGCCACTGGAGGGCATCTCTGTCTTCTCTTATCTAGTGCCCTCCAGTATTGGAGGATATGAATGCTAGGCATTGCAAGAGCTTCAGGTTGGAGGAGATTGCTGTTGCTAGTGCTGAAATGGAAGGCTACTTGTATTCACTAAAACAGTGTTGCTAAGCCTTGATAACTTGAAGGTTTGGGTGATTCTGGGAGTTGAAGTCCACACATCGTCAAGCTGACAAGGTTAAGAAACACTGCACTAGGGTGAACAGCTAAGGGGGTGAACAGCTAAGAATGCAAACAGTATTTGTGAGGAAGAGAGAAGAAAAAGAGGGTTGGCAGTTGGACAGAATAAAAACAGGGAAAGGAAAAGGAAAAAGCATATATTTAACCACAAGGATAGTTTATGCCCAGATGTTGGTTGCTGCAAGTGAAACGGGTGGAATGAGAAAGGAGGTAGACCTACCGTCCCATTTTTTTTGTGATAGTAGCTGAGAACTGGGAATCGCCTCCCCTGACGAAATCGGGCGCTCTTCTGAAGGACTCCATCATCCAGTCTTGCTGGGACGATCACCAGTGGTGGATAGCTGGGACAGACTCCAAAGTCTGCATTGATGGAACTCAGCCTCCAAGCCCCTGTCTGGGGGAAATAAAGAATGAAGGTGTTTGAAGAGCCAGGTTAAGTTCTGCTGACAGCGAGACTGTTGGCCTCCAATATATTCTTGCTGAACGTCCATCCTACTAGAGGACATCAGTTGGCTTCTGATGGGGGTGGATTTCGAGATCTATGGCCACTGCTGTGTGGTACCAGGCTTGTATATGCTCCAGAACTCCCCTGGTACCACATGCTTGTCTGAGTTCTGGGTCCAAGGTCTCTTTGAAGTAGTAGATGACAGACCCTGTTAGGGCCAGTCCCTCAGTTTTCCAGTAGTCTCTGGAATTCTGACACTAATTCGCTTGGGGCCAGCCCAAACCCAAACCCTAACCCTATTTCTTTTAATATTTTTTGCCACCATAGACAAACATGGTTCTCTTCCTACAAAGCTTTCAATGTTTCACATTTCCCACATGTTCCCACTTCCTGGGTTGTTGGAATCAATGGACAACACAGACACACCCACACACAAAACAAGAGTTAAATAATTGCATTGGCTTAAAAACCCAGCTTTGATATTGGGAAAAACGTGGTGATCTGGAAAAAAATGCGTGAAAGCAGGAATATAGTATAGACTGTCGACCAACTGGTACATGATGAGGATGAACTGGTAGTGATGAGGATAGTCCTCAGGTTATGACCATAATTGAACCTGCCCCATGTAAATCATGATGGTTATAAAGTGGGCCTGTTTGTCACATGACCAACCCAATTTTATGACCTTTCTTGTGCCAGTTGTTAATTGAATCTGTGATCTTTAAGAGAATTCTGTAGTCATCAAACAAACCAACATTCACTATGGATGTGATTTTGCCCAAAACTGGAAGTAAACACTGATTTTTGGCAAAACCATCATAAAACATGGTTTATAGCGTGGGATGCTATAAAAGGCTATAAAGGTGGCCTGATTGCTCAGTGCCTGAAGTATGATCATGTGACCGCAGGGGGGGGGCAACTATCAGAACTTCAAATCCAGATTATAAGTAACCCCCCAGGTAAATCCATCGGAATTCCAAACAGTTGCTAAGTGATCAGTCATAAGTTGAGGTCTACCTGAATTCCATGCTACAAGACTAATATCATCTATTAGATGTAACTCAGTGGCAATATTTACAATTACAATATTTGCTAACGCTATTGTTTGGGCCAGCATCATTTTCAACTTCTGATACAGCAGAGAGAATAGAACAACTTGTTAAGTCCTTTAAAATTAAAAAATAAAATAAAATTATTTTAATACATATTTGTTATCAATAACATGAAAAGGCCTTGACCCCAGGCCACAAAATGCCCTGCTCTAGCTGTCAGTTCTGCCAGCCCTGTTTCCCTTGTGTGCATCTATGCTCGGAGAGGTACCTATACTTCTCAAGAAGAACACTGGCCTCTCTACTCACATCAGTTGCGATCTGCTTGTAATACTGTTCAGTAATGTCCGTCAGCCACCCGGTGCCCAGTGTTGTGTTCTGGGGTCTGTAGAAGAAGGGGTACATCATCATCACCGATTCTAGAGAAGAAAGAGCCTGTGGGAACATGGTTGGCCCGGCATGGTTAACAACAGGCACACTCTCAGAGTTCCAAATAGCATCCAAACATAAATCAGAATCCAAGGCAAAGCATTGCTCAAAGTTCCAATTTATTAAGAAAGCCATGTTGGCACATCTGGGAAAACCCGAATCTGAAAGCTTCCCGGTTTTCCCCACCCAGTTGAAAGTTCAAGATCTTGCCCCCACACCCACAAGTCCATCACATGGTCCAATCTCCCACTGCCATGCTGGCAGTTCCACCCATCCTGTCAGGTGCAGAGGTCCAAAGAGAAAGGATGACCTTGGCTTTCTAGAAAGAATGTTGTTATGGCTACATAGCATCTAATTCCGTACAATCCCCCCTCCCATTTTCCCACAATAGAAAATGACATAGTGGAATAAGTGTGGCAGGCC